CTGTCTCTGGTGAACCCTCTCACTGCCCCTGCACCTCTGGCCTGTACCCCAGTTCTGTATGCATAAATAAATAAATCTTTTAAAAATATTTTTTTTAAACTTCCATGTTTTTAACCTCTACAGTATTTAACAATGATTGGGATCCATTAGTCAATGAAACCTCAAAATAATTCTCAGAACACCCTTTGATTCTTGACCTGAGAAAAGTATTCAACAACACTTTTACCTCTTATGGTCACAGGTAGTCAGTAAAATGGAGTTACTATGTTTATTTATCATGAAAGAACCACTAAGAAAGAACATGGGAAATCAGAGCACAATAATTTTGTCACAACTTTTCAAGTATTTGTATATTGGTTTAATGAAATTAGATGGTACTCATTCCCAGAACAAATATTGTTATTTGGATTAGCAGCTATAAACTGATTGTAGATGCTGTTATAAATTTATTTTAGGCCTTCCCTAGTGACCCAGGGATTTAGACTCAGCACTACCACTGATACACCCTGAGTTCAATTTTCGGCCAGGGAGCTGACCCACATGGCACAGTAGACCTCTCCTGCCTCACCTGCTGCTCCCCTCAGCAGTATATTTCAGTAAGTCTGCCTATTCGGCCCCCCCCCTGTCTCTTTTTCTCTGGTGAATCTTGTCACACCTTGTACCTCTGGCCTACACCCCAACTCTTCTACACTAAGTAAATAAATTTATTTTGATATTTTATAGGTATCTATAAAATGAACCAAGCATAATGGACAGTGAAGAGCTTCTTTTATTCTCCTTAACTATCTACCTTCTTTCTATCTAATCAATTGATTACCTGGTGTCCATCTTCATTTTTGATTCTCCTTTTTCCCTTCCTTCCTAATCAAGTATCATATAAAAAGCAAATGGTTATTATATTCATTCAATAATTGAATGCTTTAGTATTCTGAAATGTTAAATGTTTACACAGAGTTCCGGGCTATGGCAGGAAAATATTTGGCAAACTCAAAAGAACGGATTAAACAGAATGGAAGCACTATTTACAAAAATATGAGTAGGATTATGGAAACCAACATGAGAGAAAGGTGAAGCATTCCTTAGCTAGTAACAGTGGGAACTCATTCGCACCATCACACAGTTCCTAGAACAGGGAGTGCTGCCAGCACCTGGAAACATTGCTGTAACCGGTGGAATAAGAAGCCAGGCAAACCTGAGGAATGTAACCACGTCCAACCCCAGCCAGGAGAAAGTTGACAGGGATAAATTCTCTAAACATTCTCTCCCAGGCCTCCGATCTCTTATCAGCTAACACAAATCCGAAGTCAAAAGAGCCTGGCTAATGATCACAGAGGACCCTGCTTAGGGGTACAGATGAGGGTGAAGGGTGGACAATGAGTACAGAAAAGATAATAGTTATTTTGCATGGTACTAACTGTATTGAAATTAATTGAAAAGTTTTGGCAATATAAGAATATACTACACAATAAAGAATTGCCAGAAAATCATAAATATTTATATATGTTGGCTGAATAAATCAAACTTTGACTTGTAAGCACTATACTAAAGTTAAGTGCTAAGGTCAAATCGAGGATAGATTCTTACCTACTTTCCTAGCAGTTAAGGCAATCTCTACTACAGTAAATTCCTTTTTAAAGAGAGCTGGGTGAGTACATGGATGCTTGATGGGTAGATAGATGTACAGATAACTCAATTTTGTAAACATAAGGAAGCTTGAATGTAATCTAGTACAATCCCTTAAATATATGTATGAATAAATGGAGTTCCAAATTGGTTAAAAACACAGTAATAGGCCCTCCCTGGTGGCGCAGTGGGTAAAGCACTGCACTAAGAAGCTGAAACCACTTCCGCATGAGTTCGATTCCCACCTGCCCCGGAGGTGACCACATGGTGTGGCGGACCTCTCCTGACCCGCCTGCTGTTACCCTCAGCAATGTACTTCGTCCAACTGCCTGTTCTGCTCCCCACTCTGTCTCTGGTGAAGTCTTTTGCCACCCCTGAGTCTCTGGCCTGTACCCCAGTTCTGTATGCACAAATAAATCTTTTTTTAAAAAAAAACACAATAATAGAAAATTAGAACGCTAAACATAACTCTAGTCTCTTTTAACTTTAATATGCTCTCATTTACCAATTAAATTTTGTTCCACTCAAAGCAAAATCAGGTATTGATGAAAGAAAATAAAGAATCTGGACTATCTCACAAAGTGTGATCCATGATCCATAAAACCTGTTCACCATGGGGGCCGTGCTAACTTTTCTAATGAAAATGCGAATCACGGTCAAACAACGCACGGTCAAATTGGCATTGACAGCCAATCCCGTTAACTCTATTTTGCTGTGTTGAGGTCTTTTTTTTTTTTTTCTTTTTCTATTTGTCTCTGTGCAATCTAAAAGTTAACTTTCATCCACAGAAAGAATTTGAGAATATCAGTTTCAGAGCTAAATATTCATTACTGAATACAATAATGTGAATATTCAAAAAAAATTACATTTCATTTTCCAGAAAATTACATTAAGACTAAGCCTAACCAATTAGATGTTCAAAAGCAAATTTATCATTCCTGCAAATATAGTCACCATTTTCCATTTGGAGACCATCAAAGTTCTAATAAATGAAAGAGAAGTATTAACTGCTCACTCCGAATCAACGTTTATGATTTAGTTCATAACTCACATAAAAAACAATGCCTTTTAAAAAAAAATCAAAATGGGGCGCTCTCTGGTGGTACAACGGGTTAGGATGCAGTACTGCAAGCTAGCCGCAGCCACCTCAGTGAGATTTGATCCCCAGCCCCGGAGGTGATCCACATGGCAGAGCAGACCTCTCCTGACCCTTCAGCTGCTCCCCTCAGCAGTGTACTTTGTCGTTCTGCTCCCCACTCTGTCTCTGGTGGAACCTCTCACTGCCCCTGCACCTCTGGCTTGTATCTCAGTTCTGTATGCATAAATAAATCTTAAAAAAATAATAATAAAGTTGGGGCCCTCCGCATGAGTTCGATCCCCACGTCCCAGAGGTGACCACATGGTGCAGCAGACCTCTCCTGACCCGCCTGCTGCTCCCCTCAGCAGTATACTTCAGTCAGCCTGTTCTGCTCCCCACTCTGTCTCTGGTGAGTCCTCTCACCGTCCCTTCACCTCTGGCCTACACCCCAGTTCTGTATGTATAAATAAATCTTAAAAAAAAAAAAGTTGGATTGTTTTCCATACAATGTACTTCAACTATTCTTAATTATATTAAGTTCAAGCTTGCTGTGTTTTTTTTTTTTTTAGGTGGGGCTAGATGATTTTATTCTGTCAAGGTACTTATTATCTACGCTACACTCTTGTTTATTTAAGCATTCAAAACTTGGATAGAAACACTGTTTAGCAGCTCAGTTTTTCCCCTTCATTTCAGTGATGCAGAGTATAATATTCACTTTCATAACTTTAAACATTTCTGTATACAGCATCAAAAGTCTTATTTTAAAAGGCTGAAGCTATGTTGGAAATAATGTGTGGATTTTTCAACAGACTATTCCAGAAAGATGAAATTATGTGTCAAGATCAAACAACTTCTGATTGACAACCAATCCCATTAGTTTGATTTTGCTGTAATGAGTTGTTGCTTTTTTTTTTCTTTCTATTTCTCCTACCAAGATTAGCTATGATCATTGCCTGCACAACGCCTGGTAGTGGTTCCTGTAACTAAAGGGCTTTCTGAATCAACAAGCTCGGGGTGGAAGCTTATGGTTGCAAATGCCCAACGCAACAAGAAAGCCAAGTTGGTGTTGCTGCGTGCCCTAGAAATATACTACCTTATGTTCTTTAACACAAACTGGGAGATGAAAGAGAAAGGTGTCAGACATGAGTTACAGACAACAGGGAGCTTAGGGATCCCTGGATGAGGAGTGGGTGGGGAGAAGCAAGTCACACCAACACAGAGAAGTTCACGACCTCAGCCTACGTGAATGCAGATTCACGTTTCTACCCTGGGTGACCTGAGGGTCTTAAATTCTGTAGGGAATGAGGCGGGCCCTGGACCCCAGGGTCCACCTCCGCCACTTTTGGCGCGGCTTTGGGGAAATCGCCGGACCAGAGGCCGGCGAGTTTCACCACTAGGGGGCGGACACCCCAAGGAGAAACGACAGGGCTCCCGACAAGCAGAGGGCGCGGAGGAGGTGGCCACTGAGGCGCCTCTCCCCTTACCTCCAGGTAGTACAAATCTACCGTAGTGATCTGCGAGTCGAGGAAGTCTTCATAGGTATTGAATTGAGTTACTATATTGTCCACAGCTGTCAAACCCTCTTCCACATCCATAGCAGTTGCCCTGGGCAAAGCGTCCCTAGCAACAGACGCACGAGGGCAAGAGGTTCCACCCACTACATTCCTTCCAATCAGTTGGGAACCGGTGTTGCGTTCTGGGCGTTAATCCCGCCCCCAGGTCTTGTTACTTAGCTTAAGCTTCCGTTTAACTACCGGGAACAGAGTCTCCAATTACCGGCTCCAAGTTCCAGCCTGACACCAATCAGCGATTCAGACTTAGCTGAAGTAGGGCAGTCACGGGAGAGAGACAAATCGCAATTCAAAATTTGAAATGATGAAACTGCTCAGGACTGTAGGCAAAGTTGTATAGCTCGGCTGTTCTAATCTCAAAGCAATGTTATGTTAAGACAAATATCAAGATTAGTTCTCAGTTAAACTGAATATCCATTTTTTTGCAAGGAGAGTATTTCAAAAATCCCTGGAATGATCTTGCCGTCAAGACCAACAGCAAAATCCATTCGATGGTTGTGTCAAAGTATTTGTCCATTTATAAATCAAAGGAAAATGATTGCTAATGTTTGAATGAGGTAGGATTCAGAAATTTCCCCAAAGGACCGACATTTTGAAAGACTTCTTTTGGCCACAGTGCTTGCTTTCCAAGTTTACTTATTTTCTTATTTATTAACCATTTCAATAAACTCACAATGATAAGCCTTTCCTTATTGAAGTTGCCTTTTTTAAAGGGCAAAGTTCCTGAGGAAACTGGAAAGTAATGGTTTTACTATAGATGTTCTTTAGAACAAAATTGTACACTTAAAAAAAATAATTTGAAGTAATCCTACATGGCAGCTGACATCACTTTTAACAATTTGTTCTGTCTTGGTTTTGTTTGACTTTTTTTTTAATTAATTGAAGTAAAATTGCATTATAGCATTGTATATAACATTATATGTTAGTGTAGGCCACTTTAAGTTAACTGCTTAAAGTCTAAATCTATCCTCCAAAACATGATTGTCCTCTTTTTGCATGGGGAGGAGAGCAGGAGAAGGAGCTTTTATTTTGGAATTTAATATTTTACCAATCTTTCTTGGGAATTAATACATTATACAACACCAACTCTAATTCTGCTGTAGTTACTCTTCTTATTAAACTGATTTCACAGACATGCTTAAATAAATTTTTGAGGAAAATACAAGATACTTCGTTTTCAGTTAACTTTCCCAATCTCAAGAGATAATCATAAACACAGGATGTAACATTTTAAGCTATGGAAACACAATGTCTATGATATCACTGACTTGCTTTTAGTTAATGAATATATTCTAAAGTGTTCTAAAAGGCATTTTGGGCATTTTTTTTTAAGGCAAATGTTGAATTTAGGTGAATAAAGGAAGGAAACTGTGGACACTAATAACACCACACACAAAAGTAGCCTGCTGGCTATTGTCCTCGATCCAGCAGTAGATTGCATTCTTAACTAGAGTTTGTGCTAAAATTAACAATCACCAACAATTTAATGCCATCTAATATCTAAAAAAAGATACGAAATGTCAATTGTCCAGTAATGGAGAACAAGTCCATATGATTTATGACATTACAATTGATAAGAGACATAGGTGTTGTTATTTTTGTTATTCTCTTATTATGTAGAGAGCTCTGTGAGTCCATTCTGAAAGAAACTGTATTCTGGGCAAATTGAGCAGTAATGGCTTAGAAAAGATTCTATTACTTAATGTGTACAGAAAATGTATTTGCTTTAGTGATAATATTTATTAAAGTTTTAGCATGTACCAGTCTTGTTTGAAATACTTTATATGTATTATCACATATAATCATGATGGCAAATCTACTAGCAATAGCTTTATTTTCCAAATAGGGAGCAAATTAATTTAAATGCACTGGCCAAATTCTTAAATGGAGAAAAATGACATAACTTATTATTCCAGTTTCTCATAAAAAGAAAGTCGAGGTAAGTAGAAATTTAATTAGTCACACAGAATATTATTATGAAGGTTTTTTTTTCCTGGTTTTTAGAAAATACAAATATAGAATTGTGAAAGGGAACATGGATTGTCAAAAAGCAAAATGAATGTTATATTGCCAAATGTGAAGGCAAAAAGATTTGAGTCCTCACAACCCACTTGTTCATCGTAGGTTCTTCGTCCTTCACCTCAAAGCTTTTTAAAAGATTTAGCCACAATCACTATCTACATTTCCTGCCCAACACACTTCAATCTAGTTTTACATATTGCTCCATGGAAACTATTTTAATCAAAGTCAGTTATAAACGCTTTGTCGTTAAGGTCAATAGACCTTTCTGTTCTCCAATAACTTGGCTCTCAGCAGCATTTGCACTGTGATAACTCCTTTCTTTCAAAAACTTTCTCCCATGGCCTCCATTACTTTACTCTTCAACCCCAGAGAGTATAAGAGGCACTTGAAAGAGACAAGAGATTTCCACTCTTAGGTATCTACCCAAAGGACACAAAAACAATGCATATGCACCCCCTATGTTTATTGCTGCTCGATTTACAATGGGAAGATGTGGAATCAGCCTAAATGCCCCAAAATAGATGACTGGATCAAGAAGATGTGGTACATATACACAATGGAATATCACTCAGCAGTCAAAAAAGATAAACTCATGCATTTGTGGCAACTTGGATAGAGCTGGAAAAGATCATGCTTAGTGAAATAAGCCAGAAAGAAAAAGAAAAATACAGGGTGGCTTCACTCATAGCAGGAGTATAAGGGATCAGGAAAAAACAATTTTAAAATATAGATATATATAGTAAGTGTAATAAAGTAAAAAAAAAAAAAAAAAAACATCAACTAACAACTATAAACCAGAGACAATCTTCATGGGAAAGAAGAGGGGAGGGGAACAGGATAGGGACTGGGATGGCAAGAGCACATACTAAGCTATTTTAGTGTGAAGGATCACCATCACAGCTTCTCAAATATTTAGTGTATATATAAGTGTGCAGAGAGAGAGAGAGAGAAATAAAGTAAAAAAAAACATCAACTAACAACTGTAACCCAGAGACAATCTTCATGGGAAAGAAGAGGGGAGGGGAACAGGATAGGGACTGGGATGGCAAGAGCACATGGGACTGTGGTGATGGCACATGGATGAAGTGGTGGTGGGAAGTCCACGGGGATGATAACTGAGATAAAAAAATGTACAAAATGAAGAATGTTATAAAAAATGTATTTATAAAAAAAAAAAAAGAAAGAAAATGCCCAATCTGATCAACAAAGAATATAGATGGGGGTTGGAATCAAAAGTTTTAGGGACATAAGAGACTATAACAAAATTTCTAACATTCATGTTGTTGGAGTC